AGAGAGAGAGAGAGAGAGAGAGAGAGAGAGAGAGAGAGAGAGAGAGAGAGAGAGAGAGAGAGAGAGAGAGAAACGAACCCCCCCCCCTACTCCTAATCAAACCTTACCCTTACTTCACCTACCGTCCTTGTTCAAGATTCGGACCGGTACATCATCAACGTGAGAAAAAAACTGAACAGCATAAGTGTGACTATCCTACACATACACATACAACCATGGAAGCAACAAATATGAACTGGTACATCACTAAGTGAGAGGAACACTGATCAGCACAAGCGTGACCATCCTATATAGTTAAGGAAGCAACAGATCTGAACCGACACATTACTCAGTGAGGGGAAGGCTACATGTCATAAGTGTGACTTATCTTACACATGCAAATTGCAACCAGGGAACCAACAAATCTGAACCGGTATATTACTTAGTGAGAAAAAGACTAAACATCACAAGTGTGACTATCCTACGCATGCACGTACAACCATGGAACCAACAAGTTTAAACCCGTGCATTACTTAGTGAGAAAAGGATTGAACATCACAAGTGTGACTATCCTACACATGCACATACAGCCATGGAACCAACAAATCTGAACCCGTACATTACTTAGTGATAAAAAAAACTGAACAACACAAGTGTGACTATCCTACACATGCACATACAACCCCGGAAGCAACAAAGCTGAACCGGTACATCACTAAGTGAGAGGAAGACTGAACCGCACAAGTGTGACCATCCTACATAGTCAAGGAAGCAACAAATCTGAACCGACACATTACTAAGTGAGAGGAAGGTTGAACAACATAAGTGTAATTTATCCGACACATGCACATGCAGCCATGAAACCAACAGGTTTGAACCGACACATTACTTGGTGAGAAAAAAATTGAACAACACAAGTGTGATTATCGCATACACATATGTGAGCTATGGAGCAACAAGAAAGGAACCGACACATCACCAAGTGAGGAAAGACTGAACTTGCACAAGTGAGAATGCAACATACACACATATGAGCTATGAAGCAACTAGGAAGGAACCGACACATCACCACGTGAGGAAAGATTAAGCTTGCATAAATGCGAGTGCAACATACACACATGTCAACTATGGAGCAACTATGAAGGAACCGACACATCACCAAGTGAGGAAAGACAGAACTTGCACAAGTGAGAGTGCAACATACACATATGCGAGCTATGGAGCAACTAGGAAGGAACCGACACATCACCAAGTGACAGAAACACTGAACTTGCACAAGTGACAGTACAGCATACACACATGCGAGCTATGGAGCAACTAGGAAAGAACCAGTACATCACTAGGTGAGAGAAACATTGAACTTGCATGAGTGAGAGTGCAACATGCACACATGTAAGCGGGGCAACTAGGAAGGAACCGACACATCACCAAGTGAGAGAAAGACTGAACTTTGCACAAGTGAGAGTGCAGTATACACATATGTGAGCTATGGAGCAACTAGGAAGGAACCAACACATCACCAAGTGAGGAAAGACTGAACTTGCACAAGTGAGAGTGTAACATACACACATGTGAGCTATGGAGCAACTAGGAAATAACCGACACATCACCAAGTGAGGAAAAACAAGACTTGCACAAGTGGGAGTGCAACATACATACATGTGAGCTATGGGGCAACTAGGAAGGAACGCACATCACCAAGTGAGAGAAAGACTGAACTTGCACAAGTGAGAATGCAGCATACACACATGTGAGCTATGGAGCAACTAGGAAAGAACCGACACATTAACAAGTGAATGTACAACATACACACATGTGAGCTATGGAGCAACTAGGAAAGAACCGGTACATTACCAAGTGAGAGATGAGTGCTGCAGGTGAGTGAGACTTGCTCAAACACCTGCATAGGACTCATGAAAGCAACCATCACCATTCTCACTAGCTCCAACGACTGTCCTTATTAGCCTACAACCCCCTCCAAGTCTCCCAACTGACAACGGTTTCTCTCATCTCACTCCAAGTAAGTAGAGTGCTCCTATGAGCTCACCTGGGCAGCATGGGCACTCCTCATGCAAATGTGAGTGTGGCAGACTGCTCCCTCAGCTTATGTAGGTTGAAACTGGTAGACCGGTCAGCCTATGTGCCTCCTCATGTGCCTCTAAGTGAATCGAGGTACCCCTAAGGCCAAATTTCACCACTAGGTCTCTCCGGGGGTACCTGAATCTTATTTTGGCCAAGTACATGCAGTCCGAGTGGTTGGTACCAATTTGGATTGCCTCTTGGCCTCCTCAAGCCTCCTTTCCCCCCTCAAATGCTGGCCCCTTGAGTCCAAATGCCCAAGGGGCAACCTCACTTGAAAGAAAAAGACCTTATGGACTTTTTTCTCACTTTTTGTTGTTTTCATCCCATTTTGGGTAGGCCGAGATATTTTTTCATGTCTCGAAGCAATCTCAGCCTTAAATGTGGTTGAGATCCAAGACCAGCATATTCCGAGCTACCCCCAAGTGGTCCTTGCTTCAATTTTGAGCCCCCATGCTCACTTTTTCAATTTTTGGTGCATCTAGCCTTCTTTTTGGGCCAAATGCACAGTTTCGTCATTTTCCTTCTTTTTTTTCTTTCCATTTTAAGTTGGCCGTTTGAGCTGGCCCCACAAAAATATCCATATACTCTCAACCATGAGATCTGATCTCAGATCCATGACTCACAAAAAAAACGGCTAACTCCTTTTTACTTTTTTACTCATTTTTATTCAGATATTGCTGGGATAATGCCCTAAGGGCATTATCTCTGCAATCCGGATTGCCCTCCACAAAATCTGGAGGGATAAGGTCATAGTAGGGACCTGCTAGTCCCTACTGTGCCAGTCCCAACTGACTGGCGCATTCCCCTCCAACCCTTTCTCCCCTTTTGTCTCATACTCCCTCTTTTTTCTCTCATTTTTTTCTTTTTTTTCTTTTATTTCTGTTGTGACAAGTGTCAAGCTGTTATGCATCCTCTTTCTAGGCCTTAGAACCTCATCCATGACCAGATTCATGGCCAGCAGTTGACCGTTGCAACTCGGATTGCCATAATGAGCCCCCCATGCCCATGGGGGTTCCTGTTTGTCTCCGTTTTCTCATTTTTGAGCCCCCCTTACGCTCCGATTTTTCCTTGGCAGCTTATTTTCTGCATAGAGCTCATTGAGGCTCTATTTTCTTGTGCCTTGCTAGTCCGAGACATCTCGGACTGCTGGGTGGTCACTCCTCCACCCTTCCTCTCTTATTTTTGTCTCCTAGCACCCTCTCCCTAGGCTCTTTTCAGTTTTGCACTCACGGTGGCTAATATTTTCCACCGTCAAGATTTTGATCGGACTGCAATTGAGGCTTCCTCACACCCATCGGCGCCTCCTTTTGCCTCTTCTTCTTTCAAATTGTAGCCCCATTTGCTTCGATTTTCTCTCGGGGGCCTATTTTTCACATGAAGCCTCTTTAGGCTTCATTTTCCTCAAGGTGGCTAGTCCGAGATATTTCGGATTGCTGTCGTGCCTCTTCCCTTGCCTTTCTTTTGCTTTCCTTTCTGTTTTAGTCCTCCCGTTTGCCTCCACTAGTGCTTGCATAGTGGTGTTAATATTCCTGGTCGTCTAGATCTTGATCTTGACGGCACTACCTGCCTTGGGCATATTTTTCTCACGGCCCTTCACAATTTTACCTAGGGATATCACAAGTCCCCGCCACTTATCCCGCGCTAGTCCCCGACACTTGTCCCGCCGGTGGTCCCGCCGGTACTTGGCCCCAACATGTCATTATCTTTACCGAATCTCATATGGTCCCCGACACTTTTCCTTGCGTTTTCCCGGTCTCTCTTAGCAATTTTCACCCCATGGCTGCCCCCTTTCTAGTCTTTTTCTATATCCCACGCGCGCCGATTTTTCCGGTCGCGGCTCTTTAATTGACTCATGGCCCTTTGGCCTTTCTTATGTCGCACTCCGACGACCCCCTTTGCCTCGTGCTCCGGTCTCATGTGCAGATGCCGCAACACTATTTTCTTGACCTCCTTGACTCCTTTCTTCATGCGGCGCGTAGCCCATGACGTTATTTTTCCTAGCGGTCATTCTTCTTTCGGGAAGAAGGGCCGCCTTTATTATTCTCTTGCGACCCCTTTCCTGCTTACTATTCTCCTAATTTCTTCTTGGTCCACTGATTCCGGCAGCCGAGGACATTCTCTAGGCCCCTAGGCGCCGACACTTATGCCTTAGCCTTCCATCCTTTCTACCTTTCGTTTCTCCTGTTTCTCTAGTGTGCATTGCTTTTCTTTTGTTTTCCTTTTTGTTTTGGTCCTCCCGTTTGTCTCTACTAGTGCTTACATAGTGGTGCTAATATTCTTGGCCGTCTAGATCTTGATCTTGACGGCACTGCCTCCCTTGGGCATATTTTTCTCACGGCCCTTCACAATTTTACCTAGGGATATCACAAGTCCCCGCCACTTATCCGCACTAGTCCCCGACACTTGTCACGCCGGTGGAGCCGCCGACACTTCTCCCGCCGGTGGTCCCACCGGTACTTGGCCTCAAAATGCCATTATCTTTACTGAATCTCATATGGTCACCGACACTTTTCCTTGTGTTTTCCCGGTCTCTCTTGGCAATTTTCACCCCATGGCTGCCCCCTTTCTAGTCTCTTTCTATATCCCATGCGCGTCAGTTTTTCCGGCCGCGGCTTTTTAATTGGCTCATGGCCCTTTGGCCTTTCTTATGTCGCACTCCGACGACCCTCTTTGCCTTGTGCTCCGGTCTCACGTGCCGATGCCGCATCACTATTTTCTTGACCTCCTTGACTCCTTTCTTCCTGCGGCGCGTAGCCCATAGCGTTATTTTTCCTGGCGGTCATTCTTTTTTCAGGAAGAAGGGCCGCCTTTATTATTCTCTTGCGACCCCTTTGCCGCTTACTATTCTCATAATTTCTTCTTGGTCCACTGGTTCCGGCAGCCCAGGGTATTCTCTAGGCCCCTAGGCGCCGACACTTATGCCTTAGCCTTCCATCCTTTTTATCTGTCTTTCCTCCTGTTTCTCTGGTGTGCACAATCCTGTCATATACCATCTCTCAAGGGTCAGGACTTGTTTCAGGACCCACCGGTCCTGACAACGTGGAGGAAGAGGAGGAGAATGAGGAGGAAGATGAAGAGGAGGAGGAGAAGGTGGAGGAGGAGGAGGAAGAAGAGGAGGAGGAGGGCGAGGAGTACAAGGAGGAAGAGGAGGAGGAGGAAGAGGAGGAGGAGGAAGAGAAGGAGGAGGAAGAGGAGGAGGAGGAAGAAGAAGAATATGAGGAGGAGGAGGAGGAGAAGGAGAGGGAGGAGAAGAAGGTGGAGGAGGAGGAGGACAAGGAGGCCGACAATGTTGACAACGACGAGAGGAAAGAGGAGCAAGACGAGGAGAAGGAGGAGAACGAGGACGAGGAGGAGGAGGAGGTGGAGGGGGGGCACTTGACCTTCTCATTACTGGAGGAGGAGGAGGAGGGTTCGCGGGATTCTCTCGAATGTATTTAAAAATAAGGTTTATATTAAACCCCATGTTAATGTCACAGTGAATTTTTTTTTTTGTACAACCATTGATAAATGCATGATTGAAGTTGTAACAAAGTTTTTGATCAAAGATAATGTTTTTCCTCATGAACTGGTTAACTTGTATGCAAGGAAAACAACGATTGTATGGTTTAAAGTCAACTCAATGGGGGACGTCCTGCATAATCAAAAGTTTTTTGCGCAAGCACAATCATTTGATTGCGTCTGCGTAGACTTGAACTTTCCCAGATTGAATAAGCATGTAGTAGTTAAGCTAAGCGAAATTGAGGGAATTTACACTTTTTTATTAATGCAAATTATATTCCGTTCATGGGTACACTGACATCCAAAGATGAATTTAATTGGGCCTTCAATGCTGCTATTGATGGACTGAGGCAGATAGGGGTAGTCCAAAGGGAAATGCGGATTGATTCGAGGTCGGTGTGTAAGGCAGACATTAAGAATGATGATGGCTGCTTTATGAGACACCTTCGCAGACCTCACCCTTTTACCCCTTGCAATCCAGGTCCCACTCTGATTGAATGCACAAAATTATACTTCGTTGGAATGATGAGTACTTTTAATGGTAATCAAAATTTTTAAAAAATTGTACAATATAAAAGTGACATACTAGAGGATATGAGGATGGAGTTCAAGCAAAAAAATTTAGACAAAATTGGGCACTCGGATAGTAAAGGCAGGATCCAAAACGCCTTTGCCATGAGCAAAGAGGACATGAATATAAAAAAACCATTTGTTTTTTCTTTGCCCACCCTGCTATAAATGCTAGCAATAATTTCGTGAAAGCGTTGAATTCAATGATTAAATCCCCCAAAAGCGGACACTTCAACTTGGGTGCATTAAGTGATCTAAAACCAATCGTTGAAGTCATTAATGAAAAGACAAAACAGAAGAGCTTGAACATATTTGCGAGGACCTATGACGTGAAGGGGATGTTTTTAAAAATCCCTCACGTCGAGGTCAGAGCCACAGTAAAATAAAATTTTGAGAAGTTTAGGAACAAAGGAAGACACAGGGTAAAAATCAAAACGTACGGGAAAGGAGCTGTCTTCGAGAAATCTGCAGGAGAAAAATGATGGATGTCTATGAGACTCCGGAATTTGGAAAGACTGATGAACTTCCTACTACATAATTTTGTTTTAAAAACAAAATGAGCAATTTTAAAACAAAATAAAGGAATTTCCTTGGGGGGACACGCTAACCCCTCATAGACATCTCTTGTTTGCATGTATGCCGAGGAAAAAAAATTTAACCGTTTAGGGTGTGACAAAAAACAGTTAATTGTAGAAAGGTATGTCGATGACCTATTGCTTATGAATTTCCACAAAGTGAACGATGAACAAGACAAGCAAAGAAACCGAAGGAGTGTTTGGTATGATCACTAGGTGTTACCACCCTGACTTACATCTGTAATGAACCGTTACTGTAACTAATATGAATGATTTTTTGGAAACTAGAATTTTTGTACTTGATAAAACTGCGGAAGTAATATTAATGCATAAATAAAAAAATGTTGAAAGCGTCCGGGCTGATCCCGAAAAACTTACATTCATGATAACTATAAGTTTTAAGTCATTCGGGCCAATGGAGCGGAAGGTCGCATTGATTATCGGGACTCTGCACCGGATGGTTAGAAACACAAACTCTGATGCACTTCTAACATTATGTCTTATGACATATCACCGAGAAATGAAGGGTGTTGGCTTCTCAACGAAGGTCTTACTGAACATTTTTTGGAAATTTTGGACAAAGGTGGGAGGGAGGGCTTTACCAGGCCTGATTGCAAAGCTTGAGAGATATTACAACACATGGATATAAGAGGCACGAGAGAAGAGGTAGCAGCTGGTTCCCACACAATCTTCAATAAGCCTGATTGGAAAGCTTCAACTTCAAGGGTGTGATAGGCAGTGGAGATAAGAGGTGCGGGAGAAAGGGACACAAGTTGGTTCCAGCCGGATTTTCAGT